ACACTGATGATGAAATGTAACATTAAATTTACTGCTAATGAACTGATACTTTTTTTTTTTTACCCACGTGATCTACAAAACACTTATGAGTGACATGGAGGAGCGAGAGAGACAAATACTAAACCCAATTCTAACCTGAGCCCTAAAACCACACAGACACACATGAGTGATGTAACGCATGTCCCTCGCTCTCCATCAGCTGAGCAGGACGAGAGGAAAGTGATACAGCGCTGCTGATATCTGTGGTGGGAGACCTTGACTCCACCACACACCGCATGACTCCCCGCTTCTTTCTAGCACACACTGCCTTTATTTATAGAAGCCTGAATGCGCAAGTGCGCACACACGGACTGACTCGGCTGTTCCGGGTTACATAACAGTGGCCTACTAACGCAGCGCTGCACGTGACCTGCGTGAAATGATGTTGAACTCTGCTGAGGGTTAGGCCCACCATCCTTTTGCTCCATCTCTCTTTCTCACACACACACTCACACACATGTACAAACGCACACCCCTCCCCCGACTCCGACTGACATCACTGCAGGCCTCAAGGCTGCTCTCATCAGCTGGTTGCTAGGCAACCCTTTCGTCCACAGGCACAACCAACGCACATTTAATCTGGGAGGTGAAGAGATGGGGATAAAAAACAGACGAGAGAAAATAAACCCAACAAATGTCCAAAGGAGAAGATCTGATATTACTATTGGTGCTGATTTTGACATGCAAAAAAAGGAAGGAGTGAGTGGGGGAGGGGGAGCATGCGTGAATCTAAGCCATCTTCAGTGCTTCTCTGTCGCCATCTGTTTGACGGTCACAGAAGGAGGACCACCTTTCGCCATCTCAGGCCTCCTCATCTGACGAAGCGCTCCCTTTCTGGTCACTGCTAGCTGCCCACGACCTTATCTTCTGCTGTGGTGCCTGGCAACCCCCTCCACGTGACAACACAAAACCCCCTCTAAGCACGGAGGCAGATAATCGGACACCCCAGTGACATACAAGAGAGCATGGCTTAAACTCCATCTGACATGAGAAGCACACACAAATACTTCAGAGCAACATTCAGAAGCACCAGATTACAATCAGCTGACTGATTTCCGCAGGATGGTCAGTAGCATCTGAGCACTAAGGGCAGGACGCTGCAGTCACATCAGAGCAGGACGACACCTGGTGGTTTGAACACAGACACCCAGGAGCTGAACCGAACCAGGCCAGTCATATCAGTCAGCGTCTCTTCATTCTAAACAGCTCTAAAACAGCTGCTGTGAGATCAAGTGTCAGCCTGGCTGAGCGGGAGAGATTTCACAACACAACTACTTCTTTAAGCCTTTAATACAAAATACAGTGATCAGCAACTATAGGCCTCTACATAACCCTACCTAACCCTATTTACTGAGTCTCAGCAGTTCATGAGTGTATACATGTCCGAGGACAACTAGGATGGGTTTTACTTGAACACCGAAATAGCAAAGTGATTTAAACACAGGTGTAGAACCTCATGAAGGCAGAGATTCAAACCACAAATTATATTATGGTGTAGCCAGCCATCCCTTACTGTAGTTTCAAGTATTCATCTGTAGACATGGGATCTCATCATAAAGTCACAGAACCACTGGTGCATCTGGCTCCAACAGACAAGCTAGGTCAGGACACGTAGGTTAAAAGAACACCAATCGAGTGGTTACCTGAGGCTTACATAAATACAATCCTACAAGGTCCAAGTAAGTATTTGAATCCTTTTCACTGTTCCTTTTTACCTTTGCTGCTCTCTAAAATAGATATGCTTTCAGTCTTTCTTTTATTCTTATTCTATTATGGATTTTACATGTTCCAATTCCAAGTTTGAGTATAAAATATGCAAAGCATAAAGTTTGCTTTGCCTTTCCCTCACTTTGATTTTTACAGCCTTGTCTTGTTGACAGTGGTGATTTTCCAGCTGCATTTCACTGCCCCTGTTTGCACATTCTTAAGTAATTCATGAGGCTAAATGGATAACACCCCACACC